TTTTTTTTTTTTACTTTTTGTAAATAACTATAGATTTTGAAATAACTATAGGTTAACATGAAGTTGAATAAGACAAAGTTCCCTGTACCCTTCACTCAGTTTCCCTCAGTGGTCACTTCTCATAGGACCATAGTACATGTCAAATCCCAAAATCTGACATTGGTTCTAAGTTCTAGGGATCTAGTAACTAGCATGGTGATTATAGTTAATAATACTGTATTGAGTACTTGAAATTTTCTGAAAAAGTAGATCTTAATTGTTCTCATTACACACACAGAAAATAGTAACTATGTAAGGTAATAGGTTATTAACTAACTTGGTTGTGATAATCAGCTCACAATATATGCATATCAAGGCATCATGTTGTACACTTGATATATGTTAAATTTTATTTGCCAACTATACCTCAATAAAGCTGGGGAAAATGAAAGTGCTAAAGTACTAGAAGAAATCATGAGAGATTTCTAAACATAATGCAAACTTATATTAAGTAAAACACACACACTCACCTTACAAAGAAAAAAAACTCAATTAATGTAAATAAAAGTGATCTCCACTGAGTCATCAGTAGGCACCCGTCATCAGGGTTCCTCAAGCGTATAATTCTTTTCCCGTAATTCAAGGTCTCGAGGAAATCTTAGAGTTGTTCTCTTATACCATAAAGGGGCTCACCAGGGTTTTAACCCCGTAACAGCTTGGAACCTGCTTCTGTTCACTCTGACTGAGGAAAAAGACTCAGGACCTCAATACGATGCTGCGTCTGGGTACATCAGAGCCAGTGCAGGCTCAGAACACCAGCCGGTGCTGAAGCAGGGGCCCACTCAAGAGCCAGATTGTTATCCTGTTTGTGTAAGCCTGGAAATCAGGAACAGGGCAGCAGCAGAAACTGGTTAACAATGTAACAACATCATTTTCCATTTATTAGACTTACATGCACCTGAATGCAGGGAGGGAAGCTCAAAGTAATTTCATCCAATTCCCTCCATCTGGCTCTTGCATGTGGCTCAGTCAGCAACACCAGCTCACACTGGAACCTCTCCCCTGATTATCTCTAGAGGCAGCCCATTTCATAAAGCACCTTCCTCATGGTGAGTCAGATTTTGTTTCTCCCTAGGAACATCCTATCTTCCCTATCCTGTATCAGCCCATGACAGCCATTTGAGGAAGTCCATTCTCATACAGAGGCCCTTCAGGCTGCACTGCCTTTGCTTTGCTCCAGTTTTCTCCTTTTTAGGTTAAATTTCCAAAGCATTTCCATTTGTTCCTCACTGATCATAACGTCACCCTCAGAGCAACTTTGCTTTTCATAAACCCCAATTTATCTTTATCCTTCTAGCCTGGATTGAAATGCATTTTCCAGATGTGTTCTGAACTCTCTGGGAGGATTAGAAATGCCACATCTACATTAGTAAATGTCCCACTTTCATGAATGTTTCAAGTTTGCATGCAGGAGTGAACACAGCGTTAGTGGCAGTAAGTGGTTGGCCGTAAGTGTGAACTTGGTTATACTGAGGTTACTAGAGTGTGAAACACTTAAGTGGTCCTCATCATAAACTGCTTCAAGGTCTTCTTATACACATACAGTGGTTGTTTCTAGACAAGAAGTTCTCAACCTGTCTTTCCACCGCATGCCTGGAGTAATAGGGCTCATAGTGGTGATCCAGGTTGAGTACCCCATATCTGAAATGCTTGGCACCAGACGTGTTTCAAATTTCAGGTTTTTTCAGAGTTGGAATATTTGCATTATACTTGTTGAGCATCCTTAATGCAAAACCCTGAAATCCTAACTGTTCTATTGGGCATTTTCTTTGAGCATCATATAGGTACTCAAAAAGTTTCGTGTTTTGGAGCATTTCAGATTTCCGATTTTCACATAAGATGTCCTCAACCTGTAATATTTTATCTAGTGAAAGTGTGCTAAGAGTGGACAAAACATTAGGGTGTATGCGTAAATAAATACTCCCAATAAATTAAGATATATTCACTCCTCCCGAATCTCGTTTGCCATGTGGCATTAACAACTACTCTTTTGATCTACAATTGGTTCTGATACTTCATATTGTTAGGTTTGATTCCTTGTGAGAGTATTTCTGTTGTTTTGGAACCATGGTTCTGCCATTTGGTATATTCACTTTTTCTTTCCTTCACGGCCCCCAAATATTTTGATGAGCATGTTTTATGGAAAGAGCCTCAGCAGAGTTGAGGTGTCCATAGTATCCTCGGAGAGGCCAGTCCAGACAGAAATTGCTAACCAAGAGCATGCTAAGGTGGAGGGTGACATGTAATCAGAAGAATGTGGCACAAAGACAGGGAGTTTCTGCCTTCTTCCTTGGGTTTCCTTAACACCCAGGTTTGGGGGAGTGTGTGTGTGTGTGTGTGTGTGTGTATGTGTGTGTGTGTGTGTGTGTGT